CTTTGCAGCTGAAGTGGCAACGGAGGCGGCCATCGTAGGCTGCGGGCACAGCTGCGGGAGACGCCGCAGTGCTGGGGACGATGCAGTAGGACTTCGCTGAAACTCGAGCTATTTCAGCAGAGAGACATGCCCTTCGTCCTCGCTTCATGCTATACTCTAGTATACCAAAGTACAATATACACGGCACGCCCTGTTCCATTCCCCCTGAGAGTCCTGCGCATGTGGCATCAAGATGCAAAGTCAAGCCTGCACACCTCAGCGCATCTCCGCACGCATCGGATCATGCTCAAACATGTTTACATGCGCTGCATGCAGAATTGCTGCATTCAAAGACATAAGACATCTTCACGCCATGGAGATTTGCCAAGCACGGGAGAGCAATGCCGTTCTCACCCTTTGATTCTGTAGAATTCTGTTGTGAATCTGAGGCACCACAACAGAATCAACAACGCCAACATCCAGAGCAATGTCTTGAGGTTCGCTGCGCATCCCGGACCATCTTGAAAGCAAACGCTTGCTTTCGAATGGAACGTGGCTACGGAATCCACCTCTGGCAAGCCGAGGCCATGGCACTCTTAGACCGTCGTGAGCGCGCTCCTGGCACTCCGTGGCACTCCTTGGGGCTTACCACAAAGATCTGTGAAAACTCAGTCTGGAGGCTACTGCTCTTGCACCAGAGCGCACGTGCAGAACGGCCTTTCAAGGGATCCAAAGTCCAAAGGAAAGCACAGGAAAACACAGATCGCGAACCAGACGAGGCCAGAGCTTCAACTAACCGTAGGATTCGTGAGTTTTTGGCTCGACCAAGAGAAGCTCACAGCTCCAATCTATGCGCCGACAAGCCGTTCGTGTGCCACTAGTTTGAGGCTAGGCTCATACACCACCCCAGCAGGCCTGCAAGCTCCCCCTGCCTCCAAGGTTGCCGGAGTGTTGCGTGGCTCAAGGGGTCTTGTCGGCGTTTAGAACGGATTGTAGATGTTTCAACGTCTGGGCACCCTAGGCCCTAGGCAGTACGGTTTCCGAGATACAAGGTTGGAAGATGAATGGCTCAGCGAGGGCTGAACCAATGACTGGAACAATGTCGATGACTGACCCGCTGCGGCTTTGCCAAGGCACACTTGGGCCGGAAAAAAGAAAACCCAAATAAGGAAACGCCCACGCGACGACATTTTCTTGGCTGAGACACCAGCTCGACCGGGCGAGTTTGATCTGGCAACTGACTCATCATTGGACATCTCAACCAATCACCTTTGTCAATGCAGGGGCCGCAAGGATGCATGGCGAATGGCATCCCTCCTCTCTGAGACTGCAGCGGAGTACTCTCTGGGAGTCTCAAAAACTGTTTCAACCTAGGGCTGTGAACGCCTCCAAAGCCTGCTTCAGCTGGCGTCCTAAAAAAAGTGCTGGCATGCTGGACAAGCTTCATAGCGTCTTGCAAGGTGAACGCTGCATCAAGATCCCCTCAGGTTGTCAGGGGATGGGGCTAGGGCGCCCATTTTAGACCCCCAACTGTGCTATTTCCTAGGGACTGGGCATCATCCGGGCAAACCGGGGGAAGCTGAGATCGCAAGGTACGGGGAGCCTTTCTCATGTTCTCTTCTCAGAATGAAACAGAAGCGAGAGAGGGGGGGCGCTCTCGCGGAGGAGCGGCTCCAGGCCGGGGGTCTGCAAAATGGCAAAAGCCGGGGGAAGGGTCGAGAATGAAGGGGGTTTAGGGTTTAGGGTTTAGGGTTTGGGGTTTGGGGTTTAGGGTTTAGGGGTCACCATTTAAGACCTCCCGGAAACTGAGGGCATCAAGCATCTCTGCAGACACAGCCCACGCTGTTCCGGCACTGCATCGCCTGCAAGTAGGATATTAGACTGCGGGTGGCTTTTGGAGAGCCCTGGGAAGTAAGCACTCTTTTCAACCTCTTCCTGCACGACACGAAGTACATGCTAGAAATCAGTCTAGCCTGACCCATTCCTTCGTCCCTTCTGGCGGCATCAGGGATTTGAAAGTACTTTTCCCATGTACTCGCACAAACTTCAATTGCAGTGGTCGAGAGAAGCGCAATTGTGCTTGTCTTGAGCACCCTGCGCTTTCCGAGACAATCCACAATTCGGAGACTCAAGCTCTAGGCACCACTGTTCCAGTCGTATGCCCCACCCACAAGCTGCGTCTCTGAGTGTCTCATGTCCCACGATGCATCCTCTGAAACCTTACTTCCGCATGATTATCCCTAAAAACCTGAAATTGTGGGGAACCTAGGGGTAAACCCGTGAATACTGCGCATGTCACAGTCAATACAAGCACCAGTACAAGCCCTACGATGCGTGCTTTCAGAGGGCCGGAAGGTTTGGGGCGGAACGGACCCCTGACAATCTTGAAATGCAAGAATCCCGACACAAACGAATAGCCACAGCCTCAGGCTCAGGCAATTGCTGCTCTGCAGGCTGGCCGCAGAGGTGAGGGGCCCGGGGCTACCGGGATGGGGAAGGGGTTCACCTACACCTACGCCTACCCGTCTACAGACTCTACACAGCACCCTCGACATGCCAGCACTCACTCGGAGACCCCCAAAAAACCACAACCCCGAACTCCTGCAAAGGCCCCTGCAAAAGAAAGAGTGCCCGGCTCGCAGAGGACACCTGAGCACACAGGAGGAAGGGAGTTAAAGTCTGGGCACTCCTACCCTATCACTCGCTATCTGGTGCAGAACACTTGCAAGCACTCGCGCACCACGACAACAAAGCCAAAACATCTCAAGTTCGTCAACCCTAAACCCTATTCCCTGAATCCGCCTCCGATCGAAGGAAGTCGACGAAGATGACAGCACGAACCTGGCCACAGGAGCGGGAGCGCAGGGCTGGGGTTGGTTACCCTAAATCTATAGGCCTGCTCGTTCGAGCAGTGAGTAAGCCTGCTTGCCCTCGAGCGGTGACCCTCACCAAGTAGAGCCTTTTCCCGCCCCAGAGTTCACATGCAATCGTGCCCAGGTAGCCTCTATCAGGAGCGCTCCTCGCCCCCACCCAAAATCTAAAAGACTAGGTCGGTTTGCAGCTACTCTACAAGTCTGTGTTGTTCGCCGTCTGCCTATGTGGCCAGTGATGTCAGCCATCTGCCTATGTGTTGCTGCCCAGTTATGTTATCTTGTTTCTTTGCCTACGGGTGACCTTGTGAACCGCGGCGCGGTTTCCTGATATAACATAAGAAATCATGTCAAAAAGGCAAGGTCAAAAAAGTCAGGGCATAAAATCATGCAAAAGTCAAGGCAAAAAATCAAGCAAACTAACTAATTTCCCTTGCTTAAGTTTTATACTTATTGTATATTTCTATATTTAATATATTTTTGGCTTTTATATTTTTTGCTTTTTATATTTTTAAAGATTTTTTCTGCACCCCACAAACGCTTTGAGCCAAAACCTGTACAGGGGATGCTCAAGATGCTCGCGCCCCGCTGATTTCTCAAGAGCTCAAGATGAACTCCTATAAGAAAAGGCGCCAGCAAAGAACCGGCAAAGCCCAGCAATTCACCATGGACTGGCTTTCGCTGATGAAGCAGGCCGAGGCCCTGGGCAAAAGGAAAATGGCCCATCAAGTGTTGGAGCTCGTAGAGGACTTTTCCCAAAGCAGCCACTCCCCCAACGTGAGGCCCTTGGGCTGCTCGGTCCGTTCCCTGTTGCATCAGGCCGAGAAAGATTATGACGAGCTCTCCGAACGTCAACACACGAAGGACCCGGGCGAGGGCCAAGAGGAAAAGCATGAAGAGCAAGCCTTGTGATCTGCTCTGCAGGGTGCCGACGCGAACTTCGCAGCGAGCTATAAGCAAAAAATCACATGACAGCCGTTCTATGAGTTCTATCTTCTGCTTAAAACTCTATTTAAAATCTGCATTTTCAATCTTGATGTTTGGGTTTACTTTGCTTGTTGTGGTGTGGGGTTTTCCAACATTCTTAGCGAATTTCGTTGGTTTTGATCAATTTGTCGCGTTCTATTGGTTTTATTTTGTATTTAGCACCTTATTTAAGATCTGTATTTTCAGCTTTGATGCTTGCTTTGGTGTGGCTAACTGCTGGTTAGCTTCGACGCCGTGAAAATTCTTGCTTCCTTCCAGAACCCCTGCGAGGCGAATCCTTCCTGTTTTGCTCGCGGCCGCTTGCCTCCGGTCGCCGGAGCTGTCTGTGTGAGACACTGATCAGCGACCGGGGCCATAGTGATGAGTGGTGTCAGAGTGCAGTGACAAGCAGTGCGCTCTTGATCGCTGACGCTGCACCTGCTACTCAGCTACTCTTTTAGCGGCGCATTCTGTACCCCTGCGTGCGCAAAAGGCTCAGGACAGCAAAGGGTCTAGACTGTTTAAGCAACCAGCTGGACACGCAGGCTAACCTAGTACTGGTGTGGCCTGAAAATAGAGATTGTTCACTATCTGCTGCCCGTTCGAAGCACCGACGATTTGCGAGTGAAACCCAGAGCCCGCACAGCCAGCTGCGTAGAGCTCGGTGGCACATGCGCAGCACGGATTCTCCAATTCCATTCACGAATCAGCCAAGGCTAACAAGTAAGACTCAAAGTTGAAGAACGGCAGGGCTGGACAACACTTGCACAAAAACTACTGTCATGCTTGAAGCGGGTTCCGAATCATGCTGGTGAGTACAGGCTGAGCAAAGCAATGCAAACGCTCCTTCCCCCAAACTTCTTCAAATGGATTAATTGCGTCAGTGCACTTAAGCACAACTAGGAGCGCCTCTGTGAAGCTGCTTTTGACCAGTGCTGGCATCTGTCGCTGGTCCTGTACCCGTTGCATGCTCCGCTTGACTTGAAAACTTGAACGCCGTAGCCTGCTCAAGGAATGTGAGCATTGAACTGCTGACTGCTAATCCTGGAAGTCAAGCAAAGCCGCAGCGCAAAAAAAACATCAGACACTGCTGTTGTTGCCTCAGCCGAGAAGCTCACACAACAAGGAAGGATGCAAGTTCACAACATTTCAAACTCCGGCGCTGCTGAGGCACACGCACGCAATCTAAGCACCGTCCGCTGGTGGCAGCACGAATCCATAGCAATCTTTCCTGTGAGCGGGGCGACGGCAAAACCCGTAAGCTGAAAAGTCATCGAAACCAAGTGCTGGGCCTGGAGGTGCCGCGATTTATATTTTTTTCTTCATCTTCCGGCACCCAGCGCCCATCCTGCAAAGTCAAGCTGAGACGCGGCACAGGGAGCAGAGTGGGATTGACATGAAAAGCTCTCCTTCTGGCTGTGAATGACAATTTCATCTGCATCGCACATCACTCGATTTGGCTTCTTCTTCTTGATAGCCTCAAGCAATGCTCTGCAAAGGGCTCACTGGAAAATGAAAGCTCAGTTCCGCTTCAGGACTTGTTGCCTACAAGACATGCGCACTCAAAACCTTAATCTTTGTCATCGTCCTATTGCAATAACTTCAGACAGGATGAGCGAAGTTCGGCTTGAGGTCAGCACTTCCTTCAGGTATGCCTGACAGCGTTCAAGCTAAAACGCACAGCATCTTATCAAACTTCGAGTTCACACAAAAAGGAGCGCGATCAACATACCTTCAGCAAATACATGTCTGGAGCGCAATGTTTTGCGGCACCGGGTCGATTGGAAAAGCGTTGCCAACGAGCTGGAGGCCACCATTGCCGTCCTGCAAGGTCAGGGAGCCAGAGCACCGCAGAACATGTACAACATGTGCAATTTGGCAGGCAAAACATGAACTTTGGGACACTCAAAACTTGAATCTTGGTCGTCGCACTTCTGCAATTGAAGACAGCACGAGCTATATTCGCGAGCACAGGGCTTTCTTCAGGTCATCCGCTTGATGTCACTCACCAAAAAGCGTGGAGAACCACTCATAAACACAGAGAACGCACTGAGGCAATCGAGCGAGTGGAGCTAAGGTCGCGGCGTTAGCCAAGGAACGTTCCGAAAAATCAACTCCGCAGTTCTGTTTTCGAGAAGGCACTGCTTTCAACATGGACATGATTTGTTTGTGTCGGAATCCTCCTTGGGCCTCAGCTTTTCTTTGACCGTGTCATCTTGCGAGTCGAGTGGGTCAAAACTGCGGCAAACATGAACAGCAAACTTGCAGAATCCCAGCAAGGAACAGCCGCAACTCCCAGCCCCGAACCCTCCCGAACCTCCCCTGCCCCGCGATCGTGTGCCCCCACCATGATGTCAATGATGTCCGCCGAATGCTGATGGTGCACCGGGCGAGCGTCCAAACAGCTGTGCCCCAACCCTGGATGCAGCTACTGCATGCTACTCATGCAGTCAACGATTCTTTGCGCTCCATTTACCGACATTTGCTCTCACACAGCACAGTCCTTGCGGATCAGCTGCTGCACCCAGACGAATGACGTTGAGGTCGTGCCTGCTGAGCCTTGCAGAACCCCAAGGTGTGTACATCGAAGCCTCCAGCCGGTCACATGTCTTAGCAAACCTTGCAACTCTTGTGCCTGCAGATCCGGCAGATGGGCCTCACCGGGTGCTAACAAACGCAACACAGCCGAGAATTGCAGATCAAATAAGAGAAAAGGAACCCGAAGAAGCACACATTATGACATGTGCACGAACCCCGCCTGGGATAGGGAGAGGGGCAGTTGGTCTATCCCCAGTCATGATGTATCGTTTGGTGCTTCTGGGTCTCCATTGGCCATACTCATCAGGGATTTCCGCACGATCTAGAGCCTCAGTCATGAGAACGTTTAGTTCTTCAGCATCTCCATCTCGTAGCCGCTTCTTCAAGAGTTCTTGAATGTTTGTGCTATTCAAGAGCTTCTGCGTCTCTTGTCTAGACCACCTGTACCACTCTGCTGGCATCTGATTCCCTTTGTGCGTTGTATCACCATTGAGAGCTCCGATGGACGTCGCTGCAGCTTCACTCTGCACGATGACAATGATCTGGTGAAGGTTGTCATTCGCAGCCCGGGCGAGCACTTTCAATCTATCTGCAGATTGCTCAGACATTGTACCGCTATCAAGAACATTGTCCAAAATTAGCCGCACTCTGATACCCTTATCCTTCAGCCTGGTGAAGAACGGGCGGACGATTTCTGCAGTATACTTGATGTCGGAGAGGCGGAAGAAAGACTCCAGCTGCCGCTCAAAATCGTTCTGCAAAAGGACGATGACATCCTTCCTTGGCTGCCTACCTTTCAGCTCAAGTGCTGCCAGCGTGGCAGAAGTTGACTTTCCAGCACCGGGCTCTGCATGCAGCGTGTAGACTCCAGCCACGCTTGTATTCTGAAGCACTGCAACCATGAGCTTCTCGAAGGGTGTACCTCTGATTGGCTCAAGAGGCAGGTCTGCCTCTTGCGCAATCGGGATGAGAACAGTATTCCCGTCATCTACACCTTGTTCAATACGTTTTGTCAATTCGTCGACATGTTTCTCCGCATCGTTGCCGTCAAAAAGCTCTTGCCCTCCCCAGCTCTTGGCATATTCTTGCACTTTTGCAAGGCTTTCCACCAAGTCGGTTGCGGGCGTCAGAGTTGTTTGCACCATGGTCCATGCACCTGCAACTGCAGCTTGAAAGCTTGGATCTTGCGCTAGATTCGCCAGTGGTGATAGCTCGTCTGCAGCACGTCTGCGAGACATGTCCCTGCTTCTAGCCTGTGGCGCGGCAAACGCCGGTGTTTTTGCCCACTGCAGAACAGCTGCCAACGCAACAGCAAGCAGCACTTTTGCCGCTTTGGGTCTGGACAACGAGCCTGCCATCGGGTCCGAAACGGGAAGTTGAGGGGACTGAATTTGCTATGAGCTGAAGTCGAAGGGTGATCAGACAACCAGAAAGCCTGTCCCGCGACAAGCCCATTTTCCAACAAACAAGAGCTCAAGCTGAGACGCAACAAAGGGAGGGACAGCGGGTTTGATCTGAAAAGCTCTCCTTCTGGCTGCAAACGTCAATCTTGCTTGCCGCGATGGACAGTTCCTCTTCCGCTTTGATTGCCTGATTTCATGGGCTACACTCAAAACTTTTGTCTTTGTCATCGCCCTTCTGCAAACAACTCCTCCGAAGACAGGACGAGCTAAATCCACGCGCGTTCCAAGCAAAGGGCCTTCTTCAGGTCATCCACCTGACATCGCACACCAAAAGCATGGAGAACCACTCGTCAACTCGTGGGAGGCAATCGATTGAATGGAACCAAGGTCGCTGCGTCAGCCAAGGTTCCTTGCACTTGCACTTTGAACTGGCTCAGCTCCTTGCCACGAACTTCAAACGCTGCTTGCGTCACAATTCATGCGCGGGTTCTGTTCAACGTTCCGAACAACTCCGCAGTTCTGTCTTCCAGAATGCCTTGTGTTGAACATGGACATGATATGCATGCATCGGAATCCTCCTTGGGCCTCAGCTTTTCTGTGACCTTCCCATCCTGCGAGTCGAGTGGGTCAAAACTGCGGCAGACATGAACTGACAGCAAACTTGCAGAAACACTCCAGCAAGGAACGGCCGAAACTCCCAACCCCGAACCACCTCCTGGAGCCCTTCCCCTGCCCGCGAACGGACGTGTGCCCCCAATCTCCGCCCCCTGCCGACGATGGTGCTCAGGGGCGAGCGTCCAAACAGCCGTGCCCCAACCCAGGCTTCAGCGACTGAATGCCAATGATGCAATTAAGACAGCGTGCCCTCGTTCCTTGCGTTCCAGTTCCTGCCAGTCCTTGCGGATCATTCTCCAGCACCACACAGGGAGAATTCTTTGCGCAACTTTTCTGTCACGGGCCGGGAAAAAAAGCCAAGGTGTGAGTCTGCATCGGTCTCAACAAGGAGTGGCTTTTCAAGTTTGAGCTTCTGCTAACAGTCGCCTGTCCAGTGTGAACATGAGAAGCTTGGGTCTGAAACAGTTGGGACACAGTTGGGAACAGTTGGGAGCTGTTTCGGAACTGCTTGGCTGCATTGGCATGGTGTGCAACGTGCCGGAAGCCATGAATGGCTCGAAAGAGCAAAGCAACGTTTTGCAGCTGCCATAACTTGCATTGCAAAAATTGCTCCAGGATGTGTCTGTGGATGTGGCTCCTGCGGTCTGAAATCATGCAACTTACTCATCGGCGACACGTGTGCACGCTCTACAGATGCGCCAGCTGTGCCGAAGGCCACAACGATTTTTTCTCCAAGGAAAACGAGTGTCTCACCATTGTGAGACGGAAAGCTCCGGCCCCTTGCTCGCTCATGTTTGTGGCAAGGGGAACGGTTCTGCTGAAGCAAGGGCAGGGCTTTTCAACAGCCCCTGGAAGCCTGGAACGACATCAGATGAGCCAGCCGAGCAACCAAAAAACGCAACCGAAAGGTTCAAATTCTGAAAGGGTTGTGCTGTGATGTGTTATGCAGCTCGCCTTTGCCACCATTCAGAACTGACGCCACGATGCGTGGGGCGGAATGTTGTGGCGAAGTCTGACATGCTGCCTTTTGCTTGCCTCTCCTGATTGCGCACAGGCACAGACCGCATTCAAACGGATGAAACTGCTTCCTCGTAGACCTTGTGCAGATGACAACATCTTCAGGGCAGATCTGATCTTGGTCGAAAACAACAAACTCTCGATAGGCACCTACAGCACCTTCACGATTTCTGAGGACCGTTTGGTCTCGGCCCGTGGCCAAGGCTGCTTCAATCTTGGGGTATGCTGGACTCTGCAATGCGGAAGATGTTGCCCAGCGTGATGCGGCACAGAAGGATCGCATGCTGATTCTTGAAGACGCCGGTTGGATCCTGGCTAATGTGCTCGTCACTGTTTGAACAAGCCTCTGCGAAAATAGGCGCCGCCACCAAACATGGTTCCCACGTTCTTGCCCACACGGCTCATGTCGAAGCCATCTTCGCCGATTCCTGGCGCGCCCCCTGAGCTCGAGCCGTGAAAGAGGAACTCATTCAGCTCCGGGACCAATGTGCTGGGCGTGAGCCTTGGGCAAGTGCCTGTCGCTTTGCCTGGCAACGGCGCCACAGAGAATTGTCTTCCATGCGTAGCGCGGGTCTCTGGTTCTCTTCGCTTTGAGAGCGGCGTCGAGCAACGACTGCATCTTCTGATGGTCAGCTTCGGCGAGCTTGATCTTGTGCGTCTTGATTCTTCCAGTATCGGGAAGGCTTAGGTCCATCGGTGCTTCATTTGCCTTGCGTTCTGACGCCCGGACCTGACGTCAGTTGTCAGTGCGCGTAGGACTCCTCTGGCCAGACTCTTCAACGAGAGGAACGGAAAGCTCACGAAAAAGAAGAGGCTGAGAAACAAGCGACAAGGGTTCAAAAACCACGGCCTGTCCGACTGGGCATTCGTGTCACTGCTGTCAGCCGTGAGGACGACGAGCAACTTTCTGGGCTTGACCTCGCAAGTGAGTTTGAGAAGCTCATCTTTCGTAACATGTTTGTCATCATGTTGGTTGTCGCTGAAGAACTCGTCCTTCTGCGCCTCGATACGGCTTTCTTCCGTTTTGCTGGTGGTGTGAAACTCTGGCTCCATGATCTCACAAAACACGTGTCTTCTGCTCGCCAGCTTTCAAATCCGGTCTCCGTCATGAAGGAGATGGAACGTTGCAAGCATCTGATCGGGCGACAGCGTTTCATCCTGGAAACCTTCGATTGGGTTGTCCAGCTCTGCATGATGCGTTACCAACTTTTTTCTTCTGACTGTTGGAGTCTTTCTCAAAGTGCCAGGCTTCAAAACTCCACTTCAGGGTCGGCTGGGCCTCCTGGACTTGCCTGATGTAGGTCCTGAAGTTTGCCTCGCGCATCATGTTCCCAAAGTAGGAGATGCCGAGGATCGCAAGGGATAGGATGATGTAGAGCAAATAGCCCGCAACGGAAAAGACCAGCACGACGACTCCTACGTCCCGATAGGCAGTAGCTTCTTGTGTTGGCTTTATCCAAGTCACCTCATCGCCACACTCGACCCTGCCAGATACTGAAAGCGGGCGTTGCGCTATGATGTTTTCTCTGCAAAGCATAAAATTCAGGCAAAGCGATTAAGTCTAGGCTTGATAGTCATAACTGCAATACATGGTAGTGGATGCAAAAGCTGTCTGTCTGCTATCCTAATGCGCAGCGCTCTGAGATTCACTTGACGGGGCCTGCCGGGTACTGCTTCCCAACTCCATGACTGCACCGACAGATTACCGGAAGGATGGCATTCATTGACATCCTCTCCGTTGTAACACCAGTATTGGAGTTCCTTCGACACGCTCCAAAACCTGGGCGGAAGGCCATGTTATCCAAGCACAAATCGGGCACTGTCTCCACCGCGCGGGCGAGCTCGGGACTACCGAACTCCAAGGGACTGCTGCTCTGAAGTTCCTCAACCTCGACTGTCCCCGAACGAAAAGAATCTAGGGTGCACATGCCAGATCCCAACAATGTCGCGACTCCGCAAGGCTGATGGCCTTCATAGAACTTGACAAAGTACCGGCACGACGCTCGCGAGCACAGCGCTGACAAAGCCGTACATCTGCAGTAGAACTAGTCTGCATTTGTCCTTTCCCAAATAGCTGGTAACAACCATGGCGTGCAGTTGCGGACAGCCTCAAGCTCAACCGCCTAGAAAATGCAACGTGCAAATCAGCTTGAGCAGGGGTTTCCGGCAAGGCAACATAGCTTTTTTTCCGATGGTTTAGGTGCAAGGCTGACATCTCAGTTCGTGCCACATCTTGAACTGCCAACTGCTCTTCAAGCTTTCATGATTCACAATGAACTTGAAAAGTATGATCGGATCACTGGTCCAAAGAAAGGGGTGATGTTGACCAACTTGCTGAGTGTGCCTTCCAGAGGACCTTCAACAGTTACTCGCGCCGGTGTCCCGCACCTGTTTTCCTTTGGCACCTCACCCTTCCTCGTCCTCCCCCTGAAACCACTCTGTGGCCACATGGACTCCATGAATTTCATAGAATTGGAAAGACTGTTCTCAAACACAATACGTACCTTGAGCTGGATCTTCCGCTGGATGAGCCTCCAAAGCAATCTCTGCGCCTTTCTGCACTCTCTCGGTCCCTTGAGGTGGCCTCACGTTCAAGGTTAGGATCCCCGAGAAGAGGAGCAGCTGCTGGAAGGAGCCTTCAACAAAAAGTCTTACGATAAGTGTTAACACAGTTAACATGGGGGATTACGGGGGGGGTTCCGGGAGGGATTACGGGGAATTGTCTGGGGTTATGCAGGCCATTTGGAGGTTGGGGGGTGGGAGCGGGAGGGCTTCTCACCAGGGCCTCGCCAAGACAGGTCCTGCACGATGCTCCCAAGTGGGCGTGGCCTCACACTCGGAAGAGAAATGTCTCTGGGAGCGTTTGAGCCAATGTAGAATCAGCTTGGGGCCGGCTGGAGACTGCATGAGCATCCGAGCGACGACGGCGACGCAATTTCACGACACAGTGTTGGGGGGATGGAGTACAGCTGGACTCAGGCTCTCGTTCCAAGCTCACGCGGTTGACCTTCTTGCCAGAACCTTGCTGGGCAGATGCGGGATGGGTCCCCGAAGCGATTGCAGGCAGCAAAACCTCCTGGCGCAGACCGGCCTCGAAGGCATCCAATTCAGATTGTTGCAGATCCTCGAGCTTGCAGGACTGATAACCGACATGCAATAAGTCACATTGACCCACGGCAGGTCAGCACAAGCCCGTGCCTGATTCTCTATTGCCCAAAACTTGAGGCTCTAGCTGTTGGATCAGCTCGAGCGTTCTCAGCACCCGGTCGGCCACTTCCAGTCGTGGGCCTGCGGGTGAGCGCTCGGCTGTGCTCCGTGCAAACCGGGGAAGCCCAGATGAAATCAAAGTGACCGGGCGCAAACTCCGGGCTCCAAGGGCAAACGTCTTGGCAAATCGTGGGGGCTCTGGGATCAATGTCCACGCTGGTAACTTCCCAGCCCAGCTCTCGGAAGGCGCTACCCACCGAGCCTGTGCCCGAGCAAAAACTCCAGCATTCGGCGGGTCATGATGATCGTCGTCTGTTTCCATGATCGGCTCAAGGGTCAGCCACAGCAGAGCAACAAAACCGCCACGGCGCACAGGCAGCCAGTTGCAGAGCAGCAGCTGACGCAAGTCTTGCAGTTGTTCGGACATGCGCGGACAATTTTTTGTTGTGCTCCTTTAAATAAGCCGACGCTGACCTCGGAACTTGACCGCAAAAACATGGCTCTCCGACTTGGCGACATTCAGACAAACCTCAAGGGTGGTAAGTACTTGCCTGCCGAGCCGCCCGTCTGCTGGAACACCACGCAGTAGGCTGAAATCTTCTACGAGCCCACCGCCTTCAGCAAAGGTAAACCAAACGAATGCGTGAGCCTGTGCCTAGAGCTCACTGACGAAATGCGCAACACCGTCGAAGTGCTCGAAAAGCAGGCCACCAGCAAGAAGGTGGAGGGTAAAGCCTTGCAATCCTGCAAGTCCACCTGCAGCAAGTCCCAGTGCTTGAAATTGAAAGTCAACCTGACTGGCGCGATTCTGGGACGCCAACGGCAACAGACTCAAGGAACCGCCCACAGAGCTGCGGGGGCGCAAGGCTTGGTGGCCGTCGAAGTGCGCCAGCTCTGGATCATGGGACAGCAGTGTGGAAGCCAAGGACCTGAAATTGCAGGACGCGGCCTCAAGAGTGCCCTCTAAAAAGAAAAGAAGCACAAGTGGAAAGGTTGCTAACAGCCTCCATGGAAACCTTTCCCATTGAAAAGCTGGAAACCTGATTCAAGAATTCGTTTGTTTCCCTCTCTGAATTCGGCGGACAGAAGCTTCGCAATTTTTTTTTGCTTCATCGAACGATTGCGGTTGCAGAGCCAACCGAAGCTGCTGGCATTTCCAAGGCCTTCTCGCAAAAGAATTTCCACGCCAGAGATTCGTTGCAAGTTTGCATTTTTACGGAATGAAAGCTTTTTGCACGCGATCACTCATAGCACTGCTGCCTGTTTTCTGTAGTGTCTGGCAGAGTGATGGTGATTTAAATCCAAGGCGGGTCAGTCGAGAGACCAGTTCATCGGAAATGTGCTTGAAAGCCTGCGGGGTGTATGCCGCCAAGGCCCACATGTGACCTTAAGGGGTTCCAGCTGATGGAACCGCCTCGCGTCGAAAGTGATGGGTTCGTCGTGTATGTCGTGCCACATGCCAATGAGAGGTCGCATTTTCTTTCGCATCATGACTTCTGCGGGAAATTTGCCTTCGTCATCTTCGACCACACGCGGCTCCCGTAAATGAACCCAGAGTGATTGCATGGTTTGGATGATCCTTCATTCAGGATGTCGCGATGAACGCCGATCTTCGGGTTGCAGAGGATGGCGATGGAAGTCCAAGTTCCGTCTGAAAACCTCTTTTTCAGAAAATGGTTGACGGCTGAGCAAGCCGCTTCATCGTCAGATGCCCAGAAACAAAAGCCATTGCTGACCCATTCTGCCGTCTTCAAATCTTCCCACTGGAATGATGAATTCATCGGATGGATTTCGAGCGTCGATGAAACCTTCCGTGGAGCGAATGATGTCATCCTCCAAAGAATGTGGGTGTGCGCAGGCACTTTGAACACCGATGACCTTCTTTTCGGCCTTTGTCGTTTGAATGGATTTGACCGCGCTCTTCGAAATACGCTCTGGGCTTATCGCTTTCTGGATGAAACTGACTCGGAATCGTCCGTTGAAATGAGCGACTCGGAATCATCATCGATGAGCGTCGTCTCAGACGTGATAAGACCGAAACCGCGCAGCAAGTCTGGAGTGTGGATATACTTCAGAACAGAGCAGAAAAACAAACCTAGCGGAATTTCAAAGGCATACGATCGGAAAACTCATGGCATCTTATTGCAACCATTAGAATTTCTTATTCTGACTTGATTTCCTGCAAAATCGAACAACTTTGAACGGATTTGCATTCCAGAGAATTGTCGGAATTGGACGAATAATGAAAACGAGGTCGAGCTGAGTATCGACTTGCAAGAAAGCATGTAACGGCTCAGGATGACAAAAGAGAATAGAATTGCCCAGAAATAGCCAAAAAAAACAAAATGACCCCAAACGTGCCCCCATCCCTTGTGTGCAGCCAGTGCCGCATTGAGTGCGTCGATGGCGGACTGCGCGGAAGCCGACAGGTCCGCCGCCGTCGCATAAGGTCCCTTGCAGGGCCAGAATCTCCGTGTCGTGCCCGTTCAGGCGTGCATCTCGCACGGCCGTGTCCGTGAAGCTTGCGAGTGCGGTGGCAAGAGTTGCAGCCACGTCGGCAGCCGACTGGAAGCCCGCGGCTTGCAGCGAAAGGAAGAAGGGCCGTAGCGATGAGCTGCGAGACGTCTGCGGGCGTGGTGCGCAGGGCCATGGTGCCGTTGAGGTCGGTGGCGTGGGCCGGTTCAAAAGAGCAGTGGCGATCTTCTGGTCAACGTCAGCGGCTGTTTGCCGGGCCGCCACGTCCAGGGCCAGCTGGTCCTGCGTGCTCTTCAGCCCATACGTGGCTGTGACCTGCGCGAGCACTGCGTTGTCGGCACTGGTGATGGCACTGTTCATGGACGCGTTAG